TCTATGTCTATTCTAGTGACTGGCTCTGTCCTCTGATCCTCAGGCAAGTTTATTAGGGTACACAATATATCACCACAGTCACTTGGTAGGTTGATGGTGGAAATGTTAAATGCTTTAGCTATTGCAGAAGATAGCCCAGCAGATTTTTGAGATGCTGACCTGCAGATGAAGACTTCAGCTTACACACAAGCTTGTATAAAAATGAGCAGAGTAGTTTCCTCATTGTAATCACAGGCTGAAAATTGCCCAGGTGTCTGTGAACAGGTGAGCAGTGTTTTGTTTTTGTTTTTTGGTTTTTTTTAAAGCTACCAGGACTCGTGTATTGAAATACTGCCCAACAATAACAATAAAAAGGAAGTAACTATTGATACAAGCAATGGGCTACGTGAATCCTTTCAGGATTATACTAAATGAAAACAAAACAAGAGTGAAATACTATCCGGAGCTGAAATGTCTCAGTGGGTAAAGGTGCAGGCTACCAAGTTCAAGTTCAATCCACGCCCCAAATCTACATGGTGGAAAGGAAAAACCAACTCCTGCAAGTTGTTCTGTGACCTCCTGTGACCTCTACATGTGCACCATGGTACGCATATACTCACACATGCAAACACACACAAAAAAAGGTAATCCAAAGTTAAAATGTTATCCCAAAGTGCAACCTGATGCTCGATTCCATGTATTTAAGTCCTGAAAAATTATAGAAATGGAAACAGGTTTTCAGCTGTACAGAGCGTGGGATGATGTAAAGGGATGCTTCTGGTGGACCTGTTCTGTATCTTGACTATATTGATGTCTATTTTCTGCTGACTGTATTAATGTCTAATTTTTGCTTACTGTTATTTTCAGTACCATAACTCCACAGGGTAAGGGGGAAATTGGGTTAAGGGTGCATGGATCTGTGTATTATTTCTTCCAATTCTCTATTAATATACAATTTTCCCCAAATAAAAAGTACAAAAGAACAAGCAAGGCACAGCTGTCTCAAAAAAAAAAATAATAATGTAAACGACAGAGTAAGCAAAGAGCAGAAGACTGAATATGAACAATGGGCGGGAGGTGCACCGTGCGTTTGGTCGTGGGTCGGTCTCCAGCCCTTGAAAACAGATCAGACTCTAAGAAGAAAAGTTAGTTGTCCCTTCCGCGTGGAGCATCGCAGCGCACTTCAGGAGCTAGGAGAATCGTGGCCTTCAGTCCCCCCACCCCACCCCTCCACCCCCGGAAGCGGCCCACCGAGCTTGCAAAGTTTCGGTTTTGCTTTTTCTCAGAGGGCAGGCTTCATGCGTGTTTTCGTATCCCTGACTGTATGTGGCCACATATCTGAAAGCACTTTTGATTGTCAATAACGTCTAAAAAATGTTTATGCGGAAAATGTATTAGAATGTTAACAATTCCTTCACGTGGTTACGGTAAATGAAAAGGCTCTAAAACGTTCACGGTCAAGAGAAGACTTGCCAGACGGGGAGAAAGCTTCGGTCTCTAAAAGTAGACCCAACTGAAGTTTGCTTAGTGGGCAGCTTCTTGCGAGGCGCAGGCTCCATTTAACAAGCCTTCCCGCCCGGGTCCGGGCATTGGTTGTGGTTACGGGCACTGGGTGGCACTTTTAGGGGGCGGGCCTTGGCTCTCGGCGGCCGTGGCAGAGCTGGCACGACGAGTTCCCAGTGTGTCACCCCTGGGCGAACTCCGAGGCCTGCCCACTACCGCGGCAGGGGCGGCTCTCCCAGCGCCTTGTGCGGCTGCTCTGGCCAGGGAGGAGTGACAGGGAGCAGCGCTCCGGCCGGTCCCCTCCTCGTCCGCCCGCTCCGCCCCATTCTCTCCCGGGAGCCCACCCGAGCCCGGGCGCGGCGAGGCAGAGTGGCCTTGGTGCTCGCCAGTTCCCGTTCCCGGATCTCGAGCCGCAGTGCCCACCCTGCCCTCCAGCTGCTGCTGTCGTCCCCCCACCCCCCACCCCGATCCGCGACCCTAGTTCCCGGATCCCCTCACAGCGGGCCACCGAGCTCCCGGGACACCAGAGCCAAAGTTCTGTCAGTTTGGTAAGTCGTGGGGGTTGGTACGGGCAGGCTCTCTGGATCAGCTAGGGAAAAGTAAGGCTGCTGTCGAAATGCTGTGGCTGAAACCGGGCGGAAAAGCACCCCCCCACCCGCACCCCAGTTTCAGATGCAGTTTGAGTTCCGAGTCGTGCACTTCAGAGCCAGCGGCATCGAAGATCCCACTGTGATCTAAGGTCCGCATTCTCAGCCCGCCAGCCTGCAACTTAGAATCATCAAGTGTGGACCTCGCAGATACAAATGACCAGACCATTCCACAGGCCAGTTCTGTTGGAATCTCTAAGCTATTGCTTCAGAGCTGCCTGGGTGATTCTAATGTGCACGTAGGGTTGGGAGCCAGAGACTAGACCAAAGGGTAGCCGCCAAAAGCTTCCAGGGACCTCCTACGGTCCTGAGGTCGAGGGAGGACTTCCCTTGAGTTTCATGGGATACAAAAGAAGGAAGCAAGACAATGCTTGCTTGGCAGGGTCGCCTTTAAGGGTGAAGCCAAAGGTATGCCTGCAGGATAGAGTCTGATTGCTTCCTTAACAGCAAGCTTCCTGCTTTAGATTTTGAGACTACCTGGAGTGTTCAGGGTAACTTCCAGGAAGTCTGTTGGGGAGGAGAGTCCCCCTGTTCATACCTGGGAGTAGATGCCAGTGATTGTAATCCCGGAGCCACTGGGAAATGGACAGGCATCCTCATATATGCTGGTCAGGGGAGAGGCAGAGATTTAAAAAACCCAGGACCTAGAAGTAAAAAAGGGCCCTTTCAAAGGCTGCAAGAGTAGGTTTTGTTTTTCTGGAATAGAGACCCAGTAAACCTGGTTCCGATCTTATATTCTGTCATATAGAGTGATGTGATCTGCAACAAGTTAAAAATGAGCCCTCTGAGCCTCTCTTTTCCTACTGATAAATCTGGACAGGGTGAAGCTAACAGCTGGATAAGGTGACATTATATGGTCCATATCCGTTACTGGAAGATAGAGTAGTGGTGATTTATGTGCCACAATTACCTATTTTAGTGTAGTCACTATGATGGAGTGTGTTTGTCCAGAAACTGTCTTCCTTAAAGCCTCACGCTGCTGCTCCTCTGCATCAAATATATTTTCAAACAGTTCCTTTCAAGAAAGCTAGGCTGTCAGCAGGACTCAGAATTGATGCGGCATCCATGGCTCTCTTGCTGGCAACAGCCGGAGATATTGCACCCAAAGTTCTTGGTTTGCTCTTGACGACTGTTGGCCAGGGACTCTTTCATCAAGGACCAAGGATAGTCAGGAATCTGTACAAGAGAATTCCACATCCTGCCCTTACTGATGCCTGCTTCCCATCTGAAACAGCCACCCAGCCACCCACTCTGTTGGGTCTGTCACTGCCAGAATAACAGTAGGAGCACTATTTAGATAAGATGTTCGAATGTAAACTGTGAAGCCATGGAGGCATGGAGGACAAGTGTCTGTAAGTGTGTGTGTGGTCACTGATATTTGCTTCAACAACAACATACCAAGGCTGTGTCTTTTATTCAAAGGAAAGGTTCACTGCTGAAAATGGAAGGCATTTGATTTCCAGGATTTGAATTTTTAAAAGACAGTTTCTTCTATGTTTTTCTGTTGGAGGGTTTTGGGCAAGATGAAGTTAGGAGAGCTAATGTGTACTTGCAGGCCCATGTAGCAGCCCATCCTTAGATGTTTACAGTTTGTGAGTGTATCTGTGGAGGATCAGGGAGGGCAGGTGTTTCATCTAAACTTGACTCTGTAGTGAGAGGGAGTAGTTGCTGTCTTTTCAATTAACTGATGGATTTCAGCCAGTGCTGGAACTCTGGCCAACACAAGACTTCCTGGCTTGGATGCTTACTTAAACTTGAATTTCATCTGGAATTGGCAGGCACCAAACTGTGGGCAGAGAGTCCTGTCAGTCACAGCAGGAGGCTCCACCCTCCCCATTTACTCTTCTGCCAACCCATGGAGAGCAGGCTGTCGTCTGATGGGGCCCTATCCTGGCCTTCGATGGAACAGAGTCCCTAGCAAGAGATGCACTTCTTTCTAGCCAACAAGGCAATGAAGTACCATGCTTCCTTAAAACCAACAGGGTACTCCGTAAACTCACTTTAGAATTTGTTTTTGCTGACAAGTAATTGTCCTCTGAATTAAAGAAAAAAATATGTGTATATATTTGGTTTTTTGAGACAGAGCTTCTCTATGTAACCTTGACTGTCCTGGAACTCTCTCTCTGTAGACCAGGCTGGCCTTGAACCCACGGAGATCCACCTGCCTACCTCCTGAGTGCTGGGATTAAAGGCGTGCGCCATCACCACCCAGCCAGAAAGCTATCTTTTAAAGGAATAATAAATGGTTGAAGACAAAGACCCAGGAAATGCCCAGTGAGCACCCGATTAGCACTAGGTCTTAGTACGTACATGATCATTACTACTGCTGTGTTGGGGACTGAACCTAACACTTTGAAAATTCTAGGCAGGAGCTCTGCCTTTGCACTGTAACTCCGCCCTCTTCTTACTTTTAAAATCTTGAGTCAGGGTCTCACTAAACTACCCAGGCAGTTTTAAACTCTGTCCTTAAACTCTGTCTGTAGCCCAGCAAGACTTGGGCCCCACCACTTTAACCTCCTGAGTAGCTAGAGTTACAGGCCTGCATCCTGCTAGATTTGTTTAGAATGGAGATGTCCCTTGCTCTTCTGTTGTATGGTCCCCACCACATAGGTTAGGGTTGGAAGAAGTGGGGGTAGGGTAGTAGTTAACGACTGTGGATGCTTTCACAGCCATGTACCACTATGTAAGACATATTAATAAAGAAACTTCTTTGGAGAGCTGTGAGAAGGTTAAATTTTCCTTGGGAGAATATGTGTGCTATTTCCAATTCCCAGAAGATTAAAAATGCAATGGCCAAGAACTTCTGTGCTTCATGTTAACAAAATGCCATTTTTCCCCTATGACCCACAGAGCAAACTTTCTAGAAGGAAGTAGGTAGGAGGCTAGGCTTTCCCTTGGGGACAGACAGTCTCTGCATACTACAGGACAACAGACCCTCCCTTGAGAGGGCATTCCTGGCTCTATTTAACAGTGGAGTTTTAAATTTTATTTTATTGTTATTATTATTTTGTGGCAGGGTCTCACTTAGTAGCCTTGGCTATCCTGAAACTCACTATGTAGACCAGGTTAGCCTCAAACTCATGAATCCTCTTGCCTTCGCCTCTAGAGTGCTGGGATTGAAAGCAGGCATTACCGTGCCTGCTACAATGGAGATTTAAAAAAACATGCAACCAGGCTTGCTTCCTGAGGCTTCAAGTGCAGGATCTTGGTCTCTGTAAAGCAGATAGCAGATGGATGTGGAAGAAGCCTTGGGCTTTGAACTCAGAGTGGGGGGTCACACCATTGCTTTATTTCTTAACTAAAGGTGGTGTCTTCGTTTGTACATAGGACTTCCTTTCGAAACAGGGTGTTTTGAGCTAATGATGAGCTAATCTGCGAAGCACCCTCCACCTCAGCTTGCTTGCAGTAAGTGGTGATTACTGTGGTGATAGTAATAATGATGGCAACTGTGGTTCCAGGGTTGGTTTTACCATCTCCTCATGTGTGTGACCTTGGACCAGGCTCTGGCGTCTGTAAAATCGGGGTCAGTGCTCATCTGGATGAACTGGGTTGACACTAGGTTTGGTGAAATAAAGTGATGATACAACAGATTTCAGATAAGGACGAACAGGTCCACAGACTTGCTGTGTGACACTGGGCTAAAGGATGCACGACGTGTTGTTGTTGTTGTTGTTGTTGTTTTGCTTTGTTTCCCCCCCCCCCCCACGTTGTATTCCCAACAGCCGCCAAGCCCTTAGCTGTATCTCCCATCTTCCAGGTGGGGTAGCTGAAGTACCATGAGGTTAAAGAACTAACCCCAGGTCAACAGTGTTCCACTCAGGATTTGAAGCCAGCCCAGCAAGGCTGGACTCTTAATTTCTGCCTGGATGTTCAGTGGGACCCCGCCCTCTCTGCTGGCCCCACCCACCCCTCCAGGTTCCTGCCTGTAATTAAGGGCAGGTGTGCGCATGTTTCCTGCAGCCCGGTGTTTCTGCCAGTTTAAGGAGTGGAAGTAGGAGCTTCCTCTTGTGCCCCTCAAATGACTTAAACCTCGACCACTGCTTGGATTGTAACTGAAAGAAAGCACACAGAGAGAGAGAAAACCCAAAAGCCTTGTTACTGGTATAGACTTAACTTTATTAGAGTGTATTATAATGTTTATTTTGTGATAATGTCTCCCACCGAATGCAGTAAAGTATGCCTTTATGGCAGGCAGGTGTGTGGGTGTGTGGGCGTGTGGGTGAGGAGCACAGAAACCCTACCAGAATGGGACTCAGGTAACAGTGACAGTTTAAATAGTTCTAAGTAGACCCCAGCTTTTAAATTTATATTCATCTTCCTTATCCTTCGCACCCCAATGGCTTGTTTCTCTTCTTGATATCTGGCAACCTTCCCAGAGGTTTGTGTGGGGCAGGGTGGGGGACGGAAGAGCGAACGTCAAGAGTAAGTGGTAGGTGCTTTAGCACGTCCAATAATGAAGTGGTCATTTCCAGGGGTGTGAAGTACTTGGCTGGCTCCTTAGCCGGGGAGGAAGACTGGTATAAAAACTGTCACTCCTGGTTCTTCCTTGCTCTTTGGAGTTTCAGTTCTTCAACACGTTTAATTCAACACCTATTATCAGAAAGGTCTCACGGGGAGCTGGGGTATATTAATACTTGGGGACTGTGGGTATAATGCAATGATAGAGGGTGTGTCCAGAGTCCCCAAGGTCCTGGGTTCAAGCCCCAGCACTACTGAAAACATAAGGCTCAAGCATGTTTTTAGCTGGGTTTGGCAGTGCTTGCCTGGAAGAGAGCAGCTTTGGGGCCAGTCCAGACTCTGTAGAGTGCGTGGGCTAATGGAGTGTGCAAGCTAGTGGTGGTCATCCTTATAACAAGCTTTCTTAGAGTCTGTGTTCTAAACAGCAGCTATTTATTTCTTTT